GCGCGCCCGCGCCGTTCCGCGGGGCCTGGCGGAAGCGAGTCCAACATGACGGCCGAGGGCGGCGGCGCGCTGAAGCGGGCTCTCGTGCCGCTGCTGCTACCCGAGAAATGCTACGACCGGCTGTTCGTCCAGTGGGACCTGCTGCACGGTGAGTGTTGGCGTGAGATCAGGGCTACGGCCGCGCGGGCTCGGACTATAAAGGGAGTGACTGAGGGCCCCGCCCGGAAGTCATCCCGAGAGGGGCGGAAGTGCCTCAGGCCACAGGCGGGGACGCCATGTTCGGGCGGAAGGAGTCGCCGCCAGGTGACTTCTTTGTGAAGCACCTACCGCTCCTTTGGTCTTTCGCGACGGTGAAAAAGGCAAAGCCTCAAGTTGTACAAAACAAAGCAAATTCTGGTCGCGTGCCTCTAAGCTCTGGTAGCTGTCCGAACCTTTAGGAGCGTGGTTCGATTTCATTCCTTCTTCAGGAAGAACAGCCCAGCACTCTGCTTGCAGAAAAATCCAGTATTAAAATTCTCACATCCTAAAAAATAATAAAATTCTCACAGCCGTGGGGCTGCATCCCAGCCTACGGGGCAAGTAAAGCGGAATGCTTTGGGGCCGGAGGCTGGCTTGTGGGGTACCTCTGGGCACTTAAATTGGGGGAGCTAGGTTTGCTGACCCTCGGACCTTGACCTGAATGCCTTCCTTTGAGCCTTGCAGGCGAGTGGCGCACCCCTATGGCATCTATTAACAGCCCTGGAAAAACTAACACATCCTATGAGCAACTCTTTTCACTTGCGTGACAACTTGTTCATTTCCTTAATAAACCCTTTACTCATGAATAGTGTCTGAATTTTGTGTAGCCTTTGCAATGAGTATTCCAACCTAGAGATAAAGTAGAGAATAGGAGTTAAGACTACTTGACTGGTATCGTAAGCCAGAATTGACAATACTGGTTCCCTTCTCTAGCCTTCCCTTGGGAAGCCTATGAAACTGTTCCCATGGTGAAAGGGCCTGGTGCATAGTATAGGCATCTTGTCAATAAAATGATGGATTGATTCCTATGGTGAATCAAGCCTTTAAGGGCACTGACCAGATCTTTCAATTTCTCTCCATTTCAATTTCTACATTTGTTCACAATGTAATTTTATAACCGGCCTTCCATTTCCTATCTGTGAAGCAACTTAACAAGAAACCCCCATCTCACCAGGCAAACATCCCTTCTAGGAAGCCTTGTCCTGTCGCTTTGTGTCGACTCCCCCATAGGGGAAGTCCGGCTAGCTTCATGGCCCATGAAACCCTGACGCCCTGTGGGTCAAGCTCCTTGAAAGGAAGACTTCAGAGCTTGGAGTGCAGGACATGGAAAGGCAGGATTGAGTCCCTGGATAGGTCGCAGGCCTCTCGGAACAATGGAGCGTTGGGTTTAGGAATAAGCGATCCAGACACCTGTGAAGAGGACCAAGTTGCTCAAGAAGAGAAATAAAGCAGGGCCCTTGGGAATTGGGTGAACCACAAGGATGCAGACTGTTTGGCTTCGACTACTGGTGGTTTGACAGGCAAAAGAAAAGCCTCCCCGCTGGCTTCTATACAAATTACAACCAAGAAAACCCTGTGAAGCAGTTCTGTCACATAAAGCTGAATCTATTGGACAGCAGTGAACCTGTTCCTCTTTTCCCTCCCTTCTTGGGGGTTGCTCCACTTTAACCTTGGGAACTTTAGGGGCTCTGCCCAGGAGTGTAGATGTTAGTGTGTGGGCTGTGGAGGGTTGAGTGAGAGGAAAATGTGGCAAAGGCTGCTTTGAAATTTAGATGATTTGGAGAGGGCCCAGGCCTACCTCCCAGGATCCCTACCTGCAAGGTCAACAACAGTTTGAAACCACCAGCTTCTCAACCTTCCTCGTGTCGTGGTGACCCCCAACCATAACATTTTTGTTGCTACTTCATAACTCATTTTGCTACTGTTGTGAATTGTCATGTAAATATCTGATACACAGGATGTCTTTTCATTGTGACATATTGAACATTTTTTTAAATTGAACATCATCAAAGCATAGTGATGAATCACAAAAACAATATGTAATTATAGATTGTGAAATTTATTTCTAATGACAAATAAATGAAATATTGTCCTGAAGCATGGTGTAGCATGGTAACAGTCTTCACACCCGTACTCGTGGGTGGAGCCACGTGGAGACGGAAGAGGAGGTGTCTCAGTTCCTAAGACTATCGGAAATAGAGGAACCCGGGGAATTTCTACTCCTGTGAGGTTCCTTCTCAGAAACCCCAAGGGGCAGTTCTACCCTGCCTTGTAATGTGCTACAGGGCATCTAGTCATCAGGGACTAGATGGCAGTGAACTGAGAGGCCTCCTCCCACCCAAATGCGAGATGGCCCTAAGCCTCTGTGGGTGTGTCAGGTCTCTGGGAAGGGCTGTGCCTCCAGTACTTCCCATACCCCCTGGGCTGGCATTGGAAGCCTCCTCCCTATTGACCTTTCTCTTTCCAGTCCCTTGCCTCAAGATTCTCCTCAGCAAAGGCCTGGGGCTGGGCATTGTATCTGCTTCCCTGCTGGGTATGTATTTTAACTTCCTTTCCTGCTATTGGGATGGGCCTGGGTGTCCGGAAGGCTCATTTAACTGAAGTGGGGGGCTGGGGCCCTGGTCAAGTAGGTGGTTATACTGATAACTGCAAGGCCAGCTGTTCAAGGCCTGATCAGCTAGCGGATCCTGGAGAGAAAGATGGGACTTTCTTCTACCCAAGTTAGCCTCGGAAACTCACAGGGGCAGTTCAGATACCCCGTTCTCTAGTCACTATGAATTGAGACCACCTGGATGGCAGTTAAGTTTGGGGTTTTGCTTTTGGTGGAATAGGGCACAGATGTTGAGAGTGGGGGTAGCATGCTCCCCAATCAGCTGGGTGGGCGGACTACCAATGAATGGAGGAGTCTCAACCCTGCCGTCTTTTCTCCAGTAAAACTGCCCCAGGTGTTTAAAATCCTGAGCGCCAAGAGTGCAGAAGGGCTGAGTCTTCAGTCGGTCATGCTGGAGCTAGTGGCCTTGACTGGGACTATGGTCTACAGCACCACCAACAAGTTTCCCTTCAGGTGAGGGGGCACATGCCCACACCTTCATCAGGGGTAGGGCCAGGGAAGCAGAAAGCATCAGCCCTCTTGGAAACCTAGTCCTTGAGAGCGCCCTTCTACAGAGGCAAAAGAGGCCAGTCTCCCAAGAACACCCAGGACGAAGAGTCAATGGTGTGGGGGCTGTGGGAAGGGCAGCAGGGCAACCCCGAGAATGGTACTTACACGGAGGGAGGCATGGAGGCTCTCCCTGCCGCGGTCAGGCCCGCCTTTCTCCCGCCTCTCCACTCTGCAGCTCTTGGGGTGAAGCCCTGTTCCTGATGCTCCAGACGCTCACCATTGGCTTCCTGGTCCTGCACTACAGGGGGCAGACTGTGAAAGGTGCTGAGGGGCTTCTGGGGTGCGTGGGGAGCAGCTCTGGGAGCCTTGGAACCCGAGGCTTGGGAGAGGTCAACGGCCCCTCTCTCCTTGACCCCCAGGAGTCGCTTTCCTAGTCTGTTACACCCTGCTCCTGTTGCTCCTGCTCTCGCCCCTGACCCCGCTGGCCGTGGTCACTTGGCTCCAGGCTTCCAACGTGCCTGCTGTGGTAGGGGGCAGGGTGAGTACCAGGCCAGGGGAAGGATTGGCGGGGAGGGGCAGGTGGAGGTGTGGTTGCCTAGGGTGCATGAGCGTAGACCACCTTTTGCAACTCCACCCTCAGCTGCTCCAGGCCACCACCAACTACTACAATGGGCACACGGGTCAGCTCTCGGCCATCACTGTCTTTCTCTTGTTTGGGGGCTCTCTGGCCCGGATCTTCACCTCCATTCAGGTGAGTGTAGCCCTTCAACTAGAAAGCACCCAAACCTCATTTTTGCTACCCCAAGTAAGGGCTAAGGCTCTTCTCTGGAATCTTTCGTCCTCAGGGGAACAGGCGCTTGGTCTCTGATGAAAGGTGACCTTAGTTCTGTCCTCTTCCCGCAGGAAACGGGAGACCCTCTCATGGCTGGCACCTTTGTGGTTTCCTCCCTCTGCAATGGCATCATCGCAGCTCAGCTTCTCTATTACTGGAATGCCAAGACTCCCCACAGGCAGAAAAAGGAGCAGTAGGGCTGGGAGCCCACTGAGCCACCCAGCCTCCTGTCACCCCCTCCCCATCTGAGCCGGGTCTGCTGGTGGGGCCCCAAACTATCACCCCCTCCCACAATTGAACGAAGGTTGTTTTTACAATACTTGGATTTTCAAGCTTACATTCTGACAGTGAATGAATGTTGTTCACGTACCTCTCAATTAAATCATCGAGTCGCCTTTAACAGCAAGTCCAGGCTATCTTGCCTTTTCCCTTCCCTTGTGACTCCACAGGGGCCGAGGCTGGGCGGTGGCACTTGAGGCTTGCAAGCTGCCTTACCTCACCCCCTTTGCAATCTGGCTGTCTCCTGGACCCCAGTGCTGGGCTGGAGAAAGGGGGGCAGAATGACTAAGGCAGGGCCCCAGGGTGGGGTGAGAAGGCTCCTGCACTGGCAGGTCTTGGTGGAAGGGGGTGGAGCTTTTCCTAGTTCCTTCTGCAGTGAGCAGGCAGCCAGGATGGAGTAGACTCAGAGACAGGGTTTAATCAGGAAAAACATGGTCTCAAACACACACACACAAATCACAGAACTTAGGGAGCTCTCCTGAAGGGTGACCTCAATTCTGTCTTCTACAAGCAGGAAAAGGGCCCTTTGCATGGCTGGCACCTTTGTGGGCTCCCTCTGCTGGCTCTGGGAGGACCACAATGCTCCTGCCTTTGAGAGGAATGGTCCCAATACCAAAAGGGTTTGCAGCCTGGGGGCACAGTATGGTTCTTCCCGGTGGTCTGTGTCCACAGGGGTTAAAGGTAGGTTAGGGGAGGGTTATAGGTAGTGGGAGGGTCAGCCGCAGGTCTGTAGGGGTTATGGGGGCTGATCAGCTCAGCTGGGAGCATTGGGCAGCCTTGAGGGAGGGGCCAGGACGCAGAGGCCTCGCGTTTGTAAGGTGAGGTGCTGAAAAGAGAGAGGGATGGGGTTAGAGGGAGCCTCCCTGCATGCAGCGTGGGTCCCCAACACTGTGGGGGCAGGCAGAGGTGCAGCTTGCTACCCACCCCGGATATAACCAGGTACAGAACCCGAGCCTGGCCCGTGTTGGGGCACGTTCGGGCAGCTTGCCTTGCGTGCTCTGCAGCTGTTTTCCTCTTTTTGGGGTGGCGGCCAGGAAGGAGCAAAGTTGGGCTTGGCCTCTCCTTGCCCCCAAGGCGAGGAGAGGAAGCTGGGTCACACACAGGCCAGGACAGCTGGGAACCACCCTCCAGATATGTAGACCTCCTGAGGTCTGTTGTGTGCCCCTGAAGGACCGACATCAAAACTCCAAAAGCAAACTCATCACCGTGGAATTGATCGTGACTCTTGGTGACCCTCTAGGACAGAGTAGACGTGTCCCGGTGGGTTTCCAAACAAGACTACTTTCAGGAGTGGAAAGCCTCTTCTTTCCCCCGAGAAGCAGCTGGTAGTTCCACACTGCTGACATTGCAGTTAGCCCAACTCACAAGGACCGAGGTGGCCTCTAGACAACCCGGGGCCACCAGAACTCTCCTAGCCCACCCCTCATAAGGCACTGAGGGCCCAGGGGCTTGGTTCTGCTCCAGGAGGCCCGCACCGGCTTCACCCTTATCCTGTTTTCCCCAAGACACTCACCCATAATTGCCGGGCAGGTAGGTGGTGGAATAGTTGGGGGGCTGGTACCCGAAGCCTCTGGTACCCTGGGTGGTCGCAAAAGTTGGCCCCCAAGCAGGCCCGCCGTCCGCCACGCTGGGGCCGAAGTGTGGCGCCCCGGTGCCCGGGCTCTTGGTCTTGCGCCGCGGCCGGTACTTGTAGTCCGGGTGGTCCCGCAGGTGCCGGGCCCGGAGCCGCTTGGCCTCTTCCACGAAGGGCCGCTTCTCGTCTTCGCGCAGCAGCTTCCACTGCGCGCCCAGCCGCTTGGAGATCTCCGAGTTGTGCATCTTCGGGTTCTGCAGCGCCACCTGGCGGCGCCGCGCGGAGCTCCACACCATGAACGCGTTCATGGGCCGCTTCACTTTCTGCACCGGCAGCCCGGCGGGGGCCCGCGGGCTGCCAGCACCCTCGGGCTCCGGAGACCCCGAAGGCGGGGATAGTGCCCCGGGGGAGGGAAGCTCCAGGCTCCAGGCCTGATCCTGTGAGGAGCTGGGGGTGGCCATGGGGTGGCTAGGAGGGGAAGCCCGAAGAGGGCGTACCAAATGCTCTCCTCCCAAGTGAACCGTTGCTCTCCAAGTGCAGTTGTCAAAAAGAGCGGCCTTCCTAGTCTGGAGTTGTTACGGAAACATTTGTACCCCTGAAAAAACTCAACCCGAGTCCTTCCAATGGAGGCCCTGCTGCCAGTCTGTCGGCACCCTGTGAAGAGAGCACAAGCCAGCCGTTGGCTGGTACCCCAACTGGAGAGGCTGAGACCCCTTATCACGTGCCTCTAAATGGCCTCCCCATCAAGCCCTACCCTACTGCTGCTGGTGACCCCACATACCTTGGGTGGAAGCAGTAACCCGTCCCTTCGCGCGCCCGGTGCGGGGTGCCAGCAGCTGCCGGTGATGCGGCCCAGGTGCAGGAACTGAGACTCCAGTTCTGGGGCTGGCAAAGTCAACCTGGGAATCGCTTCTAGAGACTCGCCCAACCCCTCCCAGAAGGCCACGCCCCCCCCCCCCCAAGGACACCAACTTTCCCCCTCCCCTACGCAAACCCAGGTGTCCTGATCCTCCCAGCCCCCAACACTTGCCCTTAGGGTGCCACGCCCACCGCCCCACCCAAGACCCAGGCCCCGGGGCGTTGCTCTATGGAAATGGCCTTCCCTCCTCCCTTCAGCCCCACTGCTGAGGTGTGGGTGCCGATACAGAGGGCCCTACTAGGGGTTTCTAAGGCTGGACTGCCACCTCTTCCCCTCTTGAGCAGCCAGTGGGTTCAAACTGCTGACCTTTCTTGGTTAGCAGCAGAGTGCTTAACTTCTGGGCTCCTTCCCCTTTCTTAAGCATTGGTCATTTAAAGTCAGTCACCCACTTCCACAATGAGATCAAGCAGAGGACCAAGTGCCCTCAGGCCTGGACTGTGCAAAGGCACTGGGGAACACGGGCACCCAACTGCACTTCAGCTGCTTTTGTGCCTCTGGAGCCTCAATCTCCAGCATGCCCCTGGGGCTAGAGTCAAGCAGGAGGGAGGCCATTTTCGTTTTCTGAGTCATCCAACCGTGGTCCAGGGTAAGAGGACTTGAACTTTTCAGGCTCCAGCCCCTAGACCTAGGTTTACTATCCACAGGGGCCAAGTTTCTATCTCCAACTCCTAAAAGCTGAACAGTAAGATGACATGGATGCTGAAATCCAGCCGAGAATGAGGGCAGGACACCTGGGTCCCAGTGGCTCTGGAGAGGGAAGTCTGCCCAGGGCCCAGCCCAGGCCGCAGGCCTCAGTTAATCCGATTAAGCAGCTCCTTGGCACGCTCAAACTGTTAGCAGGAATGGCTCCAACTTTGAACAGCCCGGCCTAGCCGGAACTGTGACTCAGGGTACAGGAGTGAGTGGTCCACAGCCACGTGGGGGAGGGGAGGCAAAGTACTAGCCACAATCCTGGGAACCAGGGAGGGTACATGGCTCCCTACCCCCCAACTGGGGAATTTAGGAATCTCAAGAATTCCCAGCAGAAAGACCATCCTTAGGGAAGAAACAAAAGCCAAGGGGCCAAGGCAGGTCAGTCCCAGAGAGAAACGGAGTCGTGGAACCAGAAAGGCAGACACAAGGAAGCCGTTTGGATTTTTTTTATTCTCTTTTTAAATACTGTACAGTGAAAAATAAATACGCCTTCTCAACCACCAGACAAGGTTAGTTCCCCCCCTCCCCCTAGGGGACCTTGTCACCCCCCTTCATACACGCCCCTGGTTCTACTCCAAAACCTTCCCCATGCCTCCCACCCACTTAGATCCTTACTATCCCCGTCTTCCACAGTGATGAGGCCCCAGAAATGGGGGGTACAGGATGGGAGGAGGGATAGCAGGGGAACCCCCCTGAACTGTCACATATGGGTGGGTCAAGGAGCACCCCCCACCAACAGGCAGAGAATAGGGGTGTTCAGAGAGATTGGGGCGTTAGAGGATAAAGGCACATCCAGTCTGATGGGGAAGGAGAGAGGCTCCCTTCACCCAGGGGGGAGGGTGGACAAGAGGGAGGAGGGTATGACCCTGTTACACATCCCTCCACTAGCTCCTGGAGGTTGGGGGGGAGGGGGGTACCCAAGCTGCTGTGCCACCCCCCACCCCCCTAGATAAGAGTAGCTCCAGCGCAGGTCAGTCGGGCCTGTGAGGGCCATGGTGTTGGGCAGCAAGCGAAATGGAGACGGGAGGGATGCGAGCTGGAGGTTTTATGAAACCCCATTCACCAAACTACCCAACTCCATGGGGGCAGAGAGCTCCCCATTCTCAGAGGGGCCCTTAGGGAGTTTGCTGACAGAATCACCCTGAGGAAAAGGCAGGAAAGAAAATGGAGAAAAACAGGCATTGAAATAAAAATTCACATGTATCACACAAACTATATGCCACCTTAAGCTCTCCTAGCATTTGGCTACTGGATCTAATAGCTCTCTCTGGGAGCCGACCAGAACCGAGCTTCCCTCTACACCACCAGTCGGCAGTCTAGACTCTTCCAGACAGGGCCCTCGCTGCAATTCAGTAAGAGATGGCTTTGGAATTTTTTTTTTAAGCCCCCTAAACACAAGGAGTGAGGGAGGGAAGGTAAATAAATGACATATTGCCTGCCTACCTTCTGTCCTAAAAGCGAGTCCTCCGAGGGTTTAGTCCGTTCCAGGGCTGGTCGCTGGCGGCTCTGTGACTCTGCGCGTGAGATATAGTCAGCCACAGTCACTGGGAAAGCAGAGGGTCAAGAGTTGGAGAAAGGAACTCAGGAATCCAGCCCCCCACAATCTCAGCGAAGAAGGATTCTGGCCCCTCAATGCTAGCTCACCTGGCTGGCGATCTCCACTGACAGAACCATCAGTCCGATTACCACGGTTCCGACGGCGGCGGCTTCGGTTCCGACGCTGGGGTCTTGACTCATCTTCTGTGGGCAGGGAAAAAGGAGTCATGTACCCCAATCTCTTAGTTGCTCAATTCTTGCCGTCCCTTTATTTTTCACGTCCCAGGCACACCCCTCACCCAGGCCGTTCTCTGTCATGCTGGCCCCATCTGATTCCAGGCCTCCATCCATGACGGTCCTGTCTTCATCAGTGCGGCGGCGGCGGGAACGGCGTCGCCTGGCACTTGCTGGGGGTGGTTCCCCAGGCTCGGAATCAACTGGGGGCTCGGGTTCCGATGTGTCCAAAAGGCTGTACGGATTACTGTCGGGATCCTTCAGCACTGGTTGCAGGAAAAAAGGAGTTGGGAGTCAGGTGTCCAATCCTGCCCCCCATTTTTCCCGATTTATGAGGTCAGCTGTCCCGTACCTGAGCTAATGGATGAAGAGTTATATCTCGAGGTGAGCCGGGGGGCAGATGGAGGTCCCCGACCTCGACCCCCAATTGGCCGCCTCCGGCTCTCCTCTCCCCGGGTTGGGGGATCTCGATCGCCAGGTCCAGCTCGGTTGGACTCCTCTCTCTTCTCCGACTCAGTCTCAGAAGCTGTGGATGGGTCTGAACTCGGGCCTGAAAGTCAAGGTGGGGTCAGTCAGGGTCACATCCCACCGCTGGATACATCAGAGCTCCATATGGGAAGGATTTTCCCACTCATCACTCAGGTCCCCAGCCAATCACTTCTTCATACCCACCATCCTTTTCCCCAAGCCTCCACTCCTGCCCTCCCCCTGCCTTAGCATCCTCACCATAGACAGGCCCGCCTGTCCTCCGGCCACGGCCACGGCCCCCATAACTGCCCCCGTAGGTTCGAGTTGTGTGGAGGGAAGAGGAAGAGCTCTCATCAGTGGTATAGCCAGCCTTGTCACTGCCACCGCTGCCCCGTCCACTCCCAGGAGGGCGAAAACCCAGACCAATCTGCCGAAGCTGTTCATCAATTTGTAGCCTCTCCAAACGAAGCTGCTCCACCTCCTGGTTAAAGCAGTGGAAGACAGAAGACAGTCAACGAGGAGTAGGCATGGGATCAAGTGGACTTTTGGCTTCTCCACCGTGACCCTATCCACCTTGATTTCTATTTAACTAAGCTCTCAAGAATGACAGAAGGAAAACCCTAGGATTCAGCCCCATAGCCCCTAATCATCCAAGTTCCTGTGTTACTCTACGAGACAGACAACACCTCACTCTATGCACGAGCAGTCTGTCCCCTTGTGGTCACCACATACTTCCTCTCCCAGAATTTCTGACCAGATACCTGCAGGTAGGAGAGGTGATATTCCAGAAGAGCCTGAGCATTGCTGATATTCTCTCGGGTGCCAACAAATATGAAGGGAACCATTCCCTGGTGATCAGAGGGAAGAAAAGAGGAATCAGGAAGGGCGATGAAAAGGAAGACTAAGCCCCACCCCACCTCCTAAGAAAGCCCACCCCACCCGATGAGGTCTACATCTACTAGAGGCAGGGCCGTTTCCAGGCTTCACCCCTGAGAAACCTCGGTCCTCACGGGAATGACTCTAAGAACCATCTCATCTACTCCTGGAAGTCAAGTCTCCCATACCTCCTCTCTGGGGTTCCTCTTGTCATTATCCCCTTCAACGCGGACCCTCACCACACCAGATTTGTCCACAATCTCCTGGATCACTTTCCCATTCTTTCCAATCACTTTGCCTAAGTGGGTAAAGGAGAAATTAGGCTCTTTGGGGTGGGGTTGGGATGTTTTTAAATGAAAGAACAGTAAAACAATATAAATCATCTTCCAGCCTCACCTCCCCCACCCCCTTCTATAAAAAGATTCCCTTAATTCACTCTCTCCTGCTTCTAGATTTTTGAGGAATTTTCATAGGATGAAGTATAACAATCCCTATTTTTGTACTCAATTTTTATCAATTCTACTACAGACTACTTGCTCAGTCTTTATGAAATGGGCACTATATGGGAGGTGCCAACCCCTGGCAAAATGCCTAGAGTCACTTAAGACTCACATCTGGCCCCCAGCAGTGTTCTTTCACATACATACACCCAACTCACCAACCAGGTTCCTGGGCACTTGCACCGAGTCCTCGGAAAACTCAAGGTAACTTCGGGCCTGCCGGCATGCCTCAGGAGTCTAAGAAACAACAACAGGGCGTCGTCAATACAGTAAGGTGCCTGGACTTCAAATCTTGTTCATCTTGCCACCCTCGCTCTTTGGGGAAATGTGAGACCATCAAATAGAAGGATGTCAACATAACCCGAGTCCTTTCTACTTTGACCTCCACCAGCCCTCCCTCTCTCACCTAAACGGGACCAACAACAGGGACCTTGGCTGACCTCCCCATAGATGCGGAAAGTGCAGGTCTCTTCACCCAGCTCAATGGCGGTCACCCCGGGTACTTTTCGGGCCTGCTGGATGTTGGCACCATGAGTCCCAATTGCTAGGCCCATCAGGTCCTCTCGGACTGTGAACTCCTCCTGGAATGCTGCTGCCAATTGCTTACTTGTCTGAAAAGCAAAGTCATCACAGGAATCACTTGGTTAGAAGTGGGGAGATGGATAGGTCTAAATGTAAGAACACCTGTCCTTGCACCTAACTTTTTGTATGACTTAAAATACTGAAAACTATGTGAAAGGAAAGCAGGACCACCCTGATGCCTGCTGACCACTAGGACCACTGTGGAAAGTTCAGGAGCTGTTAGTTCCACTCCTCTGCCTGGCTAAATACCAATGGTTCGGGTTGGGAGCCACCCAGTTCTGGATTTGGCTCAGACTATCCAACTGTTTCATCCCGAACAAAGCATACTCTCTGGTCCCCATTCTGTGATCTGCTCAGTGACTGATTACAGCTGGCCTCACTCATTCTCAAGAACACCAAGGTGATTAAACAAGGTTGGTATGAAAGCTCTTTCCACAAAGTAAAATACAAGTAGAAGGAACATTATCTTGTTCAAACTAGTATCAAGTCCTCCTCCCAAGCAAGGGCTGAAAAGGCAGAAAGTTTCTACAACAGCCTGGTGAGAGGCTCGAGGCTCTTAAAAGCTTGCACTGGCTTTTTCCTGGTTTCTTCCCGTCAGCAAAGGGGTAAGAGGAAACTAAGACTCGAGGAAGCAATTCATCCTCCAGATGAAGTTACTGTCCACACAGGCCCATCCTAGAGACCTGAAAAATTAGATGATGTCATCCCACCACCATGAGCAACCACTACGAGCAAGCACACAATAAAGGTCCTGATTACAATGGGACAAAAATATAAAACGAAACTAAAATTCAGTAAAGGACCAGACTTACTGGACTGACAGACTGATGAACTCCCAAACTACTAATACCCTGTAAGGTGAAGCTAAAGCCACCCACTCTGAGCTCATCTTCAGCCAAATAGATTGGCCTAGGAAATAATAAAACCTAAAGGGATGTGCTCCTTAGAACAATCAACTAAACCAGCGGTTCTCCACCTGTGGGTTGCGACCCCTTTGGGGGTCAAACGACCGCTTCACAGGGGTCGCCTAATTCATAACAGTAGCAAAATTACAGCTGTGAAGTACCAACGAAAATAGTTTTATGGGAGGAGAGGGGCCAGTCAGGGTGCAGTGTAGCAACGATGAAACATACAACTTTCCTCTAGTTCTTAAATGCTTCCTTCCCCCTCCACTATCATGATCCCAATCCTAACTTACAAATTCGGCTAGACCAGAGGATGTACACTGGTACAGATAGGAACTGGAAACACAGGGAATCCAGGATGGATGATCCCTTCAGCACCAGTGGTGAGAGTGGCGATACCAGGAGGGCAGAGGGAAGGTGGGGTGGAAAGCCCCCTTTCTACCGATTACAAGGATCTACATATAACCTCTCCTCCATGGGGGATGGTCAACAGAAAAGTGATTGAAGGGAGACATTGGACAGTGTAAGATATGACAAAATAATAATAATTTATAGATTATCAAGGGCTCATGAGAGGGGAAAGGGGAACAAAGAAGGAGCTGATATCAAGGGCTCAAGTAGAAAGCAAATGTTTTTTTTTTAAAGCAAATGTTTTGAGAATGATAGCAACAAATGTACAAATGTGCTTGACAAATAATGGATGTATGTATGGATTGTGATGAGTTGTACAAGTCCCCAAAAACATGATTTAAAAAAAAAAAAAAGAATTTTATGGGGGGGGGGGGGGTCATCACAACATGAGGAATTGTATTAAAGGGTCGCGGCACTAGGAAGGTTGAGAACCACTGAACCAAACAGAACCAAACTGGCAACATGTGTCCAAAAACCAAGATGAGAAGGCACAAGAGGGACATGGAAACTGGAGGGAAGGAAAGAGAAAAGGTAGCATGGAAATAGATGGCACACTGACCCATTGCCAGAATAGCAACTGATGTGGCCGAACAAACTGTGCTAAATTGTTGAATGGGAAAATAATTTGAGGTGAAAATAATTTCACCTCAACACAATGAAATGTTCCAAAGAGGAAAAGCAGAAAGCAGGCCTCTGGGACACAGTGCATTCACTTCAATTCTCAGTCATTTCCTGAGGCATCCTGGACTCAGGTGTCAAAAGACAAGGAAGAGACTGAACAGTAAGCCCCAAACCAAACCCCTGCCATTGAGTTGATTTAGCTCACAGTGACCCCCATCTAAGGTGTCCAAGGCTGTAAATCTCAATGAGAGCAGACAGCCTCATCCTCTCCCACCCCGAATCCCGACGCACAGGGAGCGGAGCACCAAACAGCAAGGCTGACAGGGACAGTCCCAGGACTTCCCTGGTGGATGGGGTTTCATTATACCAAGGACTTGTTACAGGGGGCAAGAAGAGAAAACTGAGTGCTCAAAATAGTGGACTTAGGACAAGAAAAAGAGGAGAAAAAAAAAAATCTAGAGATGGTCCAATGTTTTCTAGAGAAGTTTGCCAGGGGTTAAAAACAAAGGGAAGAAAACCCAATAAAAAAAAAGAAGAAGAAAAAAGAAAACCCAATCAGATTAGTACAAAGGCATCTGGGTATTATTCTAACTACTTTGTATCTATTTCATGCCTAATGTGTATATATTTTAATGAGACAATCTAAAGGTAAAGTTTCTTCTAAAAAAAAAAGGAAAACAAAAACCAGCACCATTTTTAAGACCTGCATCTATGGCAACGCAGCCTATCTGGTGCTTCGCCCCACAGATCAATACCACCAAGTGCGCTGGTAGTAGACGCTTCCACCATTGTTCGATGAGTACTTGGACAGGCAGAGTTTGTATTATCAGGGGCAAAGGGTGCAATTTTTAATTGACAGCACACTGAACAGCATCCTCCCTGGGAGAAGTAAAAGATTACCATGATACATAATTTGTACAGACTTAGAGAAAAGCTCCAGAAGCAAATTGGCTCACTTGCTAAGTGGAAATGGAGGGTGCCACATACACACATAAGCCCTACTCATTTAGAATGGTACCACGTTTCCCCGAAAGTAAGACAACCCCTAAAAATAAGATCTACTTACAGTTTTGCCTCTCGCTGAAATATAAGGCATCCCCCGAAAATAAGACCTCTCCGAACATAATGCCTCCCCGATAATAAGGACCCCCGAAGCTACCGTTAACTCTGGACTCTGTACCATAGTGGTGGCCGGGCTCCACAGCGTAGCTCAGTGTTGGCTGCAGCGCAGCCAGGAAGTGCGAGTAAATGTACCAGAGATTATGAGTAAATGTACCACAGATTGTTGTACGTGGAAATAATGGTAGTAACAAGAAATTCTTGATACTGTAGGATTCAGTTTGTCTGGTTATGCTGGTTTGTGATGATAACTACTACTGTACCACATACAGGTAATACATTTCCTTTTTTGTTGTTCAACAATAAATGTGTACCATATTCTTCTGTGAGGGGAGGTCAGATGCGCAGGCATTCCCTCCCCTGAGGGAATCAGTTGCCAGACTGCTGTCTCATCCCTCCACAGGGGTGGGCCTGCTCCCTGCCTCTGGGGACAATGGACAGGCACCTGTAGGCGGAGTTTGCACCCTACTGATAATGTTCCTATGGAGACCCAGAGACCACCCCCTAGACCACCCTCTCATTGCTATGTAACCTATAGTGCAGCCCCTTCCTGTGACGTATGTCTCTACCTGTAATTAGTGGGCTGGCATGCCCCCAAAAGGTATATAGGTGTGAGCCAGCAATATAGGCGGGACTTCTCTCTCTGACCCTGAGCTCCTTGCTGCTCACTCCCTGGTCACTCCCCTCTCCCTTGTTCCCTTTCCCTCCTTCCCTTCCCCCTCTCTCCACGTGGACCACCAAGCTGGGCTGAGGTGAGCAATGTTGCTATGTATCATGCCTGACTGTATTATTATAATTATTATTATTTTATGCCTGACTGTATTATTGTATTATCTCTCATGCTCTCGATGACTTTAATATAATACTTATATATCTCAACCGTACAATTGTGCTTTACTGAACCCAGAAGTAGTATTACTGAACTCGTAGGAGTAGCAGCGGGTGGGGGCTGGCCCCTCGCCCCCTCCATCAGCGTCATTTTTATTTTTTAATTTAATACTACATTCTTCTTCATGGAAAAATAAGATATCCCCTGAAAATATGACCTAGCGCATCTTTGGGAGCAAAAATTTGGGAGCAAAAATAAGACACTTATTTTCAGGGAAACAGGGTATCGAACCTAGAAAAAGGGAGCCAATCAGACAATGCTAAAACTCAAAAAGACAGAGAAACTGTCTCTCCTATCTCATTGCTGTGGATGAAGAATTTAAGGTTAATCATTTGGCAAAGCAAGAATTAGGATTCCAACTCCAGTGGGCTTCCAGTTTACAAAGGGTTTCCAAGCAACCCACAAAGCCTTTGGGGGTGCTGAGGTAAGGAAAAGCCACCCTCCTTCCTATTTAAAATAGCTGTGATCGATGTCTTATGCATTTTGCCCAATTAAAATCACTTGATCCTAAAGTTCCTTGGTTAAATCAAGTTTGAAAACAACACTATGCCATGAAGGAGCTCTGCCATGGGGGTGGACCTCCACATCCAACCCAAGTTTAATGGCCCAGAGAGACTTTACAGGTTTTGCTTGGTCAACACAAGCTTATGAATGAAAGATGGGAGAATAATAGAACCAATCAGCAATAAGAAGCAGAGCCAAACTTACCTCTAGGTGTTTTGTAGCTTCTTCATTACGAGACATAAGCAGCAATTTGGTGCGTAGGCTTCGAAAATGCATGTCACCCAGCAGTGATGCCCTCTTCACGGGGGCTTCAGTGGTTGACTGAGAAAGAAAAACAACAGCAACGGATAAATCATTCAATTTGATTTGAACACACAGCAGAATAGAACTCAGAGCCTGGGAATCATGATTAAGAACTGGAAATGAAGCCAGGGAAGAGGAAAACCATCGCAGTCTCACAAGGGCCTACTCTCTGGGTGCCTAAGGGGATGTGGTTCTAAGGTACAAGCAAAGAGAAAGCACAAGGGGAGAACTGAAGAGTCTATTTTGAGAGTCCTAATATCCATGGGAGCACCCTCAGTTCAGGCTGCAATATGGTTACCAGGTAATAAAAAAATTAGTCATACTTGAGAGGCAGTCTAAGGAAAGGTAGAGCTACCTGGGCCAGTAGGGATCAGGAACAATAAAGTTCTTTCTGACAAAAAAGATAACATTTTAGTCCCTTCCTTTTCACAAAGGGGCTTAAATAAGGGGAGGAAACTGCTGAAAGGGCTTCTGTGAAATTCAGTCAGAACAAACTTACCAAAATAAACAGCTCGCTATTTGTGATGTTCAGAAAGATGCAGTTAGCTCCCAAAGCTTTTTTAAACTCTTTATGGACGTTTTCATTGGAGCAGCTACAGACAAAAATTAAAGTGCTCAGTGGGCATGACAGGTTAAAAGGAGAGAGGATAAGAAAAGGGAAGGGCTATAGCTAAAAACACAGGAGCAGGAGGAAGGAGAAACAATATACTGAACAAGGACAGATATTGGGAATGTAAACAAAGACAGTCAAGGAAAACGGCCACTCCCAATATCCCAAAGACTCACGCCTCTCTCAGATCCTCAGGAACAGCCATGGTGACCTTGAAGAAGCTGCCTTTGGTTGCAAGAGGGCTGGGATTGACTGGCCGAAGCCGCTCCAGGGTGACAATCTCGTTGTAAGTAGCATCACAGGCAGCATATTCAATAACATAGAACTGGCAGGGGCAGAAAGCAAAGTTGTAGGTGAGATTAGCTCCTCTCTCCTACCTTTCTATGACCAAAAGATTTGCTTCAACGGTTCTCTGAAGGCCTTCAGTCACTCACATCTCCTTTCATCATCCGCACCCGGGCCAGCCACCAGCCACAAGGTTCCTGCTCGTTGGCTCGAGAATAAACCTGAAGAGAAATCGGGAAAAAAAACGTGATAGTGAGACCATTCCAAAAACATCAAGAATGAGAAAAGCATTAAGATGTTTGGGATACTTCCTAAGGTCAGGGTAACGGAAACCAGAGTTGATAATTAAAAATCTAAGGGGGGTGGGGGGGATAATAATCAGAAACCAGTATGTTCTAGATCGTTATCATAAACACAAGAAAGGTGAACTCCCTGAAACGGGGCGCTTGGTCACAACAGTGATAGCTTTGCACTTTACATTTCCATAGGCTACACTGCTTAGTGTGACAGCTCAGCTGGGGAATAGAAATCGAAGTATAAACCAGCCAGAGGGGAATCTAGAATCCTGGTTTCAGGAGTCGTAAAATCCTAGGGAACATGGCATTTCTAAAAGGTAGGCTCCGTAGCTCTTACCTCTACCTCATCCCCTTCTGTGATCTCTTTATTATAGTCAGCTGGAGGTGGTAGCCGGACATCCCCAAAAGGAATTTGTCTTTCACTTTGCCAGCTGTAAGGAAAACCTGATATGAAAGGCTATTCACTGCCTATTTCTTCCAGAAGACATTACTGCCTCCCCTAGTCACTGTCCCACCTTCCCTGGTATACCCCAGGCCTAACTCCACAGGATTATCTTCACTCATGGCTAAGGTGACCAGACGTCCCGCTTTTGGTGGGACAGGCCCGATTTTTAACAATTTGTCCCGCAATCCTGCGGCGTTCAAAAAAAGTCCCGATTTTTTGAAAGAATGCACGACAAGAGAGGGTATACGGTTTTCAGCTGCCATGCAGCTATTTTGCCAGGGTAGGAGTTTTATCCAAGGTGTTGTCCAGCGTTACCAGTGTGACCATCGGGTGCCCTTACTCATGGGCTACAACCACAAGCTGGGATGAAATGGCCACACCTCACCGACTTCTCAGGCCCTCTCCTGTCCAGGGATCTGCCTAAGATGTCCACCCAAACCCATTACATGCCTCACGGGACTCGGTCGCCCACCTCTTTCCACTCTCCTTCTAGGACCTAGAATGCTGGATTCTCTATTCCCAAGGTCTTACTTGTTTTCAAAGAAAATGGTGACAGAGTCTTCATGGACATCCTTCACAAAGCCCTAGAATGGATTTTAGGGTGAAAGAAAAAAAAAAAGGAGAGGGGGGAGAAAGCAAATTATTTACCATTATTTCAGCTATCAAGGGAATGTCTAGAAAACTTGAGTTTTACATGGGCGCACACACAATCTGATGACAGGGCCCAGAAAGCTATGTTGTGGAAATACCGGAAGGCTTCAAAAAGTTCATGAAGAAATTTCACTATCCCCGATTCCATTTTTCCATGAAGTTTTTGAAGCTCCCCATATCAAAGTTGAGGTAGAGAGAAGGCATGGAAATTATAATGGCATGGAAAGATGTGAAAGGAATAAAAATTTCCAGAAACAGAATTAAGTACGTGGGGAAGCACCACCTGCATCAGACCACCCTGGAAACTGGAGCATGTACTGGACTCCTACAGGGGCCGCCCTAGCTTGTTCCTGTTGTCCTGAGCAGCCTGCCAGAGTTCAATTAAAATACCAGCAGCATTCGGCAAGGCTAAGAATATCCCATGAGACAGTGTGAGGCTGTCCCAGAACACCTAGGGGACAGCAGGAGTGGACAGAGAAGGGTCTAGCTCCCCAATTCAGCCAGGGACCTGCACAACTTGCTGCCCCACACCTGAGTCCTACAAGAACAAAGTTCAAAATTATAAACAGTATACAGAAGGAAAAACGAGGACTTGAGATGCCAGATAATCTGTGTGCTGGAAAATGCTGAGAAAATAAAATGCATAGGAGACCCCAATCTTGAGGCTGTGACAAAGGAAGAATAAGAATGGTAACAGAGCTGAGCCAGCTTCTCCACAGAGGCTTAACTGTTCAACCCAATTCTCCCAATTCTTCCACCTTTCCCAGTTTTCACACACTTAAAACGAAAGCTTTCTAATTTTGGTAAAGTACAATTAATTTGTTTTTGTGGATTATGCTCTTGGTTTCCAATCTAAGAAATTGGTGGCTAATGCAAGTCCACAAAGGTCTTTGCCTCTGTTTTCTTCTAGAATTATTAGCGTTTTGTTCCACACTTAGGTCTAGGACCCATTTTGAGTTGAATTTTGTATATTTTTATACGGTGAGAAGAATAGAAGTTTATTTTTATAAACCGGTATCCAGTTTTTACAGTGTTGTTTTAAGTTTTCTGCTCCCAAAAAGGTTTTGCAGTCTCAGAATTCCCAAGGGGCAGTTCTACTCTGTCCTACCAGGTTGCTGAATTGGAAATCAACTGGATGGCTGTGGGCATTTGTGGAAGACTATTCTTTCTTCGCTAAAGAATGTTTCACCTTTGTCAACAATCAGGCAGTGCAAACAATGTACTGCAACAAAGTAGATCAGTGCCTGGTGAGGAAAAGACCATTACCTTAACTGCAGCAATGGTCCCTCCATCCCATACCCCTATCAAAACTTTCCATAGTGTCCTCACTGCGTGTCATTTACACTTCAATAAGCTGTCTTTGAGAATATTAAAGGTCTCAATACCCTGGAACGATTCTTAAGCTTTGCAGTGAGGGATAAAAACTGAGCTTGGGAGTGAAAAACACTTTATCTCTCTGCCATCCTCTTCTCTGTACCCATCCCTGCTGTTTCCACTCAAGACTCCTGAAACGTAAGACTCACTATTTGCCCAAGTCCCCTTTTGCATGAGTTCTTCCCTTTCATTTCCTCCTTTCACAACTACTAATCCTCTATCCCTTCTCTCTTCTTTCTAAGGATCTGCTGGATGTCTACGAACAATTCAAGAAGCAGCTTCTTCATTCTGACCTGATCCAATTCTTTCCCCCAAACGTCTGTCTCGAACCTTTAGCAATAGTTTATCAAGAGTTAGGTACTCTGAAAACATTTTGGAGATGCGACAGAAGTGGAAGAGAGACAGATGGAGAAGAGCAGCACTTGTCTGACACTTTCATAATGTCACCCACTCCTAAAACACACTAGTTCACAAAAGGTTTAATCCTAGTCTCTCAATCCTAAAGGTGGCCCTCCAGATGAGATATCAATGTTACCCTGGCTTTTTCCAGTAAGGCAAGAATGAAGGGCTCAGAAGAAAGCCACAAGCCTGGCATCTCTCACTTGTCATGATACCTCCCAGCATCTTTTACTTTCAAATATTCTCCCAGAAGGGCTCCCACTCCACCTTCATATTCCAATCTAGTCACTGTTTCCTAATTCCACCTACATCACCCCAGACACTAGTTTTGCCTCCAAGCATGCCAGTGGTGGGAAGTGAGTTCCTGGTTCTGCTCAGTCCATGCTCATTGAGAAGGAGCAGGCAAGGAGGGCATCTGTTAGAAAGTCAGAGACTGGGGCGACCCAGAGGGTGACTTAGTTTGTGGTCAGGGAAGGACCAGGGAGAGAGGAGAGTTCTAGGTTCCTTTCATTTGGTACTTCAATTCTTCAAATTAAGAGACACAAAATTAGTCCCCGTGTTTCAGCTTATATTCTGATTCTTGTCCTTAGGTCTCAAAAGAAAAAAGGGAAAATGCAAACACCCACTTCACCACAGTATAATTTTTTTAAAGGAGGAGATTCTAGAGAAAAGTAGGTAGAATTTTGGTAAAAATCATGGGTTGAAATTTGAGATGATATACTTTTTTAAAAAAGGAAGTTAAGATATCAAGGCAAGATCTGAAAAGGTGGATCATTGTGCCCTAGAAGGTGAACAGGTTTTTTAATCTGATGATTACAGACTTTATTATTTTTTTTTATTACAAACTTTAAAACAATAAAATACACTTAAGTTCTGACAGAACAAAAATCCTAGATCTGATTTTTACCGTTCAATCTCAAAAGAAAATCAAAGCTCTCGATTCTGAGAGAAAGAGACCTCCACAAATGTATAGCTCTAGAAACAATACAAATATTCCTTGACCAACACTTAACCGTGCTGAGTCATGAATATTAAATCAACAGCAAAGTCAAAAAGGCTGAGTATCTATATGGCACCGAGAATCGAGAAGATTAATGAGAATTTAGGAATTTGTTGTCTTTAACCAAGGCATGGGACAGAAAGGCTAGACAAGACAAAATCCACATAACCCAGCTTTTAGCTCAACTCCAATTCTACTCTCTAAGACAAAGTATCCTATCCCCAATTCAGTCAAAAGTCTATCTTTGCCATAGCCCACAGAAGAAATAAAAAAACTCCAAATCTGTTAAGATACTTCTGTGGCAAGCATCACCCTTCCCAACAGGATCACACAGTGAATCTGACCTGGAGATTTCATCTTTCCCAGGTATGCTTGGCTCCCACTCTTCCTATCTTGATCTCAGACTCATTTTAAGAATCACTTCTCTTAGATCTGAGAATCTGAGGGCTGGGTGGGCCTAGATGAAGGGCTAAGGGAAACAAGGCTAATATCTTATGAGGAAGAACATTTCAACAAAGGTAATACCAATTTTGGGGAAAGAATATGAGAGACAAGAATGCTCCATCAAAACCAGAAAGGAATTAAGATTTTTTGCCAATGAAAACAGAAATGCTATGGGCCAAGCTTGAAGAAAATGTCCCCCAAGAGTAGGGAAATATGCAGGAGGAAAAAAAGTCAGATCAGCTGGAGCATCTTTTAGCTAGCTAGATATGATAGAGTAGTCAGATCAGCTGGAGCATCTTTTAGCTAGCTAGATATAATAGAGTAGTCAGATCAGATCAGCTGGAGCATCTTTTAGCTAGCTAGATATGATAGAGTAAGGTGGTGCCTCAGAATACCACAGGACCTCAAAACCTTATGATAAAAACCAAAAATTCAAATCAAGTGGCTAAGATAGGCAAAGAGGGGGTCGCTACAGTTACTAGGCATTAACAGAAATCCAAGGAAGAGGTAGGGCAAAAATGAGACAGTCACGTAGAGTGGTTGCACTTGTCAATTGAAGCTGGAGCAGAAACCAATCATTCCAATGGCAAATATGAAAGACCCTTTCCAGCTTAAAGACAGGACATCACAGAGGAGGTGGAAAAAGTCATTTCCAAGGGCATGAAGGTAGAGAAACCTACTGTGGATGGGGAGAAAACAAACAAACAAAAGAAACCTTGACTGAACATGAAGGAAAGGGGGGCTCTTTGGGAAAGTGATGCCAAGAAAAGATCTCCATTCCCCAGCGCCTCAAGGTGGAATGAACGCCTGGGGCTGGAATCAGGAAAGTCTCTGGGGCAATTTCTGGCATAAAGTCCAAAAGGGTTCAGGTTAACAGTGGTCACTCAAAGAAGACTCCAGAGAAGGAAGGGTTGGTC